AAAAAAAAATGATTCTCTCAAAATACACAGAGGTTAAGAGCACGGGATCACAGAGCTTTGCAGAGCACACATGAACCACTTAGCACGATGCCTGCAACACATCTACATGTTCTTAACGGTTAACTGACACTATCATTAACATTATTAACATCGACTGAAGTAACTAGACTTGGATGCATTAAAAGTTGTTCCAGGTCACAGGTACTTTAGGTCTCAGTCCTAAAAACTGCAGATTCCACCAAAATGCTCTTGAATTTTTTTAAGAACAACAACAGAAAAAAGTCACCTAAGAAGGATTTCTTATTATACTAGTAAAGGTGGTAAGTAACAACTACCTTTTGTTCTTCAAAAGGAACTAATTTGTAACGGTCCTCTCCCCAATGGTAATCATTATGTCAGCAAGAAATTCTGCTGAAGGGACTTACCAATTTCTTCTCGCTGAAAGCTCCTTTGTCATCACATATTAAAACAAATGCATCAAATGATAACACCAAAATGCAAGGCAAATCATGTGTTACATACAGAGTTATATATTCTAAGACAGGTGACAAGGGCTGCGTTACCTTCAGGGGCCTCTGCGTCACATCTCTTTGGCACAGAAAGGGTTGAATTGCCTTTATGTTCATCGTACGTTATATTGCTCTGAAAGATGAAAATGCAGTTAAAATGGAAATGTTATAGTGATAAATATATTTTGATAAGAAGTCATCACATTATGAACTTCAGACTGTTTTCCATTAAACTGCATCTAGCTAATATTCTAAAAGGTGAACTTTACGTAAAATTGCAAGTAAAAGAAAAAGATTTATGGTAAATTTAACATTAGGGCTCTTCTACAACAGTCTTTAGGTCCTGTGTTGAACAAAGCCCAGAGAAACAGCCTACTTATCTTCCCACTGTGGGACAAGAAAAAGAGTAGCTTTCATCCACAAAAAGCATGGTCTCATTTCATTCATTTACAGAAGAATTATAAGCATGACCTAGGTGCAAGGGATACAGCATGAAGAGAATAAAAGGTTTACAAGATGAGAAAATGATTAAGGGGACCCTCTAGCATTGCGTTTCCCAAACTCGGGTCCTTCGTGCACCTCCATCGGGACCTGTGCCTTATCTCGGCTCCACTTACCTCGTGACATTTTTCAATGAACGAAGTTTTCAACCCTTAACAATATCATGGATGATATTGGTTAAGGGTCTGATGTGCTTGTTAGATTGTTTCTTGTTTCTAATTACATGTTAAAGTAAAGAAAGAAAGGAGGAAGTAGAGGAGGAGAAGACAGTGATGTGGGCAGACGAGGTTGATAATGAAAGACTCCATGAAAACAAGGCATGGACTAGCCCCTGAAACAGGGGTGTGATGTGAGCTGCTGGGAAGGAGAGCAAGAGCTGTTTCAGGAAAAGAAGACTCAACAAAGGTTGGATCAGATATGGTCAAAGTATTTTAAGCTGTCAAAAAAAATCCAAACTAGCTTTCCAGTTACACGGAGGAATCACAGTAGGCTTTTGAAAGATCAACACCAAGAAATCAATGTAACAGGTAAGAGGACACCCACTGTGTTAAAAGAAAGTCTCGCTACCTACAAATCAAGTATTTATAAAGTCTCTCCTGTGGGATTCACGGCACCAATGAGCAGGCATACTCTGCTCACCGAACTTTCTGGGGAGCCGTATTATATAAACTTGCTTAAAATATTAATTTAGAGTAAACAGTATGAGTCTTAGCAAAGTGCTGAGATGAAGCGCAGTAGCTTGGCACCCGAGGACCTGCTGAAGGAATGATTATAATGAAATTCAGTGTCATTTTTAAAAAGAATTTGTATGAAGCCAACATAAGTATGCCCCCAAATGGAAAGAAAAACTAGTTTTAGCAACATGAAGAGGAATCTAGTATTTTATGCTAGCTTTCACAAATCAGAATTGGGTTTTAAATATCACTATGTTTAAAACATCAAAATAATGAAGTTTTCGGAAGTTTGCACTTACCTCTATTAGGTAATTCTGGCTTCCATACATAACATATTGGGGCGCAAGACTGTAAATCATGTAGCTGGTGTGAAGGACGATGAGTAAAAGTATCATGCAGAGAAACAGGAGTGCCTGGGGCCTGGTTCTGCCTCTTCTGATTTTATACAACTGGAAAGAAGAAAGACAGGGATAAGATTCCAGCAGCATGTCTGATGTGAAGGCACTGAGGCCCACCCATCTCTTAGGTGGAATGAACACAGTTCAACCAACCATTCCTTTTTTCCAAAGTACTAAGAATTCTTAATCTTTGCAGATAAGTAGAAGAATGACAGAGAGTTCTTTCCCTGTAAAGCTTTTAGGTTTAGATTCATGTTTATTACTTTTTCCTTTTTTAATTTTTAATTTTTTAATTGAAGTATAGTCAGTTTACAGTGTGTTAATTTCTGGTGTACAGAATAGTGATTCTGTATATACTGTATATATATATATATATTCCTTTTCATATGCTTTTTCATTATAGCCAATTCAAGGTACTGAATATAGTTCCCTGTGCTATACAGTAGGACCTTGTTGTTCACCTATTTTATACACAGTAGTTAGTATCTGTAAATCTCAAACTCCTACTTTATCCCCTCTCCACCCCTTTCCCCTCTGGTAACCGTAAGTTTGCTTTCTATGTCTGTGAGTCTGTTTCTGTTTTGTAAATAAGTTCATTTGTGTCTTTTTTTTTTAAGATTCCACTTAGAAGTGATTATCATATGATATTTTTCTCTTTCTGGCTTCACTTAGTATGGCAATCTCCAAAGAAACTCAAGACCTAGAGAATATTTTAGTATTCACAAGATCTGTTTCAGATAAACCTTCTAAACTTATGTAATAGCATCTGTTAGAAGTTCACAGAGCTAAGAGGAATTGTGAACTAGCTCTAATTCTATCTAAAGATTGAAGGGGTGAGTTTAATTCACTATTAGTGATGTATCTGTGGTTTTACGTAAAATTCCTGCACAAGGACAGCGATGTCACATGTCTTGATGCTCATCGCTATGAAATGCTCATGATATCCTCACATTACACTCTCCTGTAATAGCAGGCTTATGTTAGTTTGTGATCTTCTGACTGTAGATATTTTCAGATGCATCTCTACAGGAGGAAAACTAAAACGTGTGGTAACAAACACACAGAACCTGGTGACTTGCTTCATTTCAAAGGCAGGGCACACTTTTATTTTAGCAACTAAGATGTCACCTCCTTGTTTTATTACTAGATTGTAGTATGACGCAGAGCAATAGAACTCCACTTCCGGATGGGACACAAGCACCTAAAAATGTGTATTTCCAGCTTCCCCACACCCTGTAGCGGCTGTAGTGACAAAATATTGAACATCAGAAGGAAAGCAGCCTGCTGGGGATTTTTGCTTCCTTTCTGTTCCAGGTGTCACCCCTTCCTCCTATCTGCCTTTTCCTTATGGAACATGGACAGGATAAACGGAGCTGAAGCAGCCCTTTTATAATCATGAGGGAGAAGCCAATGAAGACTATAGACTTGATGTTTCTGAGCTACCAAAGGAAGGCTAGATTTAAAAAGTTTTCCATAGCAAGGAAGTCTTTCATTAGTTCAAGCCACCGTTTAACTGAGTTTTCTCCTACCCACAGCTGGAAGTATGAAGGTGATATAACTCATTTAAAAATTCTTAATTTACATCAAAATGAGTATAAGGAGAAAATAACCCTTTCTCCAATCATATAGTAATCTTTGCCTCCTAGTAGTAAGGGTCACTTCTGAGCTCCCGTGTATCCACTGGTGCTGCAGTGTGTTTCCACGCAGCCAAACACTAAGGAAAATAATATAACCTCTAAAGCATGGTCTCCCAACCTTGGCACTGTTTCTTAACATCTTACACAGGGTGAGTCTTTGCTGTGGGAGGCTGCCCTGTGCAATGCAGTATGTTTAGCAGAATCCCTGACCTCTACCCTCTAAATACCATAGCATCCCTCTCCCCCAGTTATAACAACTGAAAACATCTCTAGACTTTGCCAACTGTATCCTGGGAGCAAAATCGCTCCTATTTAAGAACCACTGTTCTACATAAAATGCACTTTCATGTCAACACGAAGTGAAAAAGCTACTATTTCCACCATTTTTGGCATCAAGATATTTACAAGTTCTGTATGATAAATCTAACGGAGATTTATCTCCACTAATGGAGAGTATATACAAAATGATGAAAAAAATTCAAATAACTTTGTATCAAATACTCACTCTAATCCAAAAGAACCATATGCCAATATTTCGAATTCCCGCCATTGAAGTAAAAATGAAGTACATAATAATAATTGTTATAAGAATATAATCAAGAGGAAACACCTGAAAAAAGACAAAATTAAATTTAATACACAAACAACAGAAGTTATGTAAAATTAACTGAAACTTCATTAGTCATATTTGCCAATGTTTAAAATACCAACCCTGATCAGGCTACTATGATAATATGAAAAAAAATTTCTCCAAAAAACAATGACGAAACTATTACCAAATTGCTTAGTATCATTATCCTAAGAAAAATCCTATTATAAATTAAACTAAAATTACATTTATACATAGAATAAAAGACTTCATAAAAAAGTAAAGAGTAAAAACAGGAATTCCAAGGAATTGCTTAGAAGTGTTCACCCTAAATTTGATAATGTATCCCAAATCAAATTATGTACAATGTAAGTGTTCAGTAATATATCAATATGATTTTTCAAAGCCACATATCAATGTAGAAATCATACATAATAAAAAGTCAAATCAGCAGAGGGCACGAGGTATTGCCAGGCATCAATAGGTTTGTCAACATAATAATCGGACAGAATGTGAGAGTGTTCGCTAGAGAATAAAATGACTGATTTTCTTTACTTACTGTTTGTAGCAAAGGCAAAAGCATATTCAGTGGATTACTCAGGTTAGCTCCAAAAATTATGAAACCAGAATCTATTCCAGCTGAATGAAGAGCTTTATCCAAACTAAAACAAACAACAAAAATTATGGAGTGAACCTATATATCATACCACCACATTTTCAGTTAATTTAGAAAGAATAGCATCTTAAGTTAACCAGGAAGATTCAACTAAGTCAAAAAAAAAGGATAACAAATTAAACCGCACTTTAAACATCTTACAGATATTGCTCAACTGATACAGAATAAAGAAACACTGTCTATTATTGGGCCTTTTTAGTCATTCTTTGAGTTAATGCTGTAGAACACGTCAAGTGAAATAGCTACTTAAGAGGAGCAGGCTACACTGATGGAATCCAGCATGGAAACGTGTAACATTACAGGATATGCACAAGTGCTTCAGAAAATGTCTCTACTGTACTCACTTTGACAGGAAAAGAGAAATTACAAACAGCAATGCGACTAAGATGAAAAATATTCCCCAAATTATCTAGAAGCAAAAAAAAAATCATTAAGACTGTAGTTCTAAAGGTTGATACTAAAAGCACAACACCATTATGCTCAATTTGAATTGCTAGCATACGACAGTGATCTAAATAAAATGACCCAAGACACATTTTAATTTAGCGTATAATCCTAGGTACTTGTCATCTAAATTTTCAGTATGAGACTATTTGATTGAGAACAAATACACAAAAGAGCCAAAGCATTTAAGCCTTTACTGGCAAGCAAACAAATGAGATTCTTTGCTATGTCAAATAAAAGATGTATAGTCAGTTACACTCAAATATAAAAAGTTAATTGAAATCTACATTAAGACTAACACACATACACACACACACACAAACAAAACCAAGAAACTCATCAGCTTATATCAGCCTG